TTCTGTGGCCAGATACGGGCCACTCTGTCTACAGGTCCAGCTTTCCCCTCCATGCTCTGGAGAGCATCAGGGGCTTCCCAACAGTTTGTTGGCTGTTGAATGATACTGTTGGGAACACTCCCACATGGGTTTTGTGAAATGTTTTCATTCCTCTTGGACATAAACTTGGGCCATATGCCACTCTGTAGCTTTCTGAGGGACCATTAGACTGATATAGATTGCTATCAGCAAGATCCAAAGACTCCATTCTTCCCACCTCTTCTGTATCCTCCCATCCAGAGCATCCTTTGGGTGCAGCTACTGAAGTGGGAGGGAAGAGATGTCTGGCTCTGGTTTGGATCCGCATTTCCTTCATGCCCCATGTTGTTGAACGTATTTTCATGTGCTTACTGGTCATTCACACATGGCTATTACAGTGCTTTCCAGTTTTTATCAATTTCTAGAGCCAGGGCTTGAACTCAGAGTCTCATGCACACAAACACAGGCTATACCACTCAGACTGCAAATCCTTCACCACTTTTTGTTGTATGGGTATAGTGTGATTTGGATGGTGCTTTCTGTCAGGTTTCTGCTCTGTGCTCCATTTTACTGTTTTTGTTTTTCTTTTGATAGAAAGCACTCTGCTCTGCATGGGCTTCAATCCCAGGTCTCAAGTTATGGACTTCATCCTCTGAGTGGCTGAGACCTCAAAGTCCACCATGACTACTGCCCCCCCTCCTTCCCTCCTTCCCTCCCTCCCTCCTTCCCTCCCTCTCTCCTTCCCCCCTCTTTCTTTTCCTCCCTCCCTTTTCCCTCCTTCGATTTCTTCCTCCTCCTTCTTCTGAGATGGTTTTCTGTGTAGCCCTAACCTGGAACTTGCTTTGTAGACCAGGTTGGCTTTGAACCACCTACCTCTGCCTCCTAAATGCTGGGATTAAAGGCGTGCACCACCACTGCCCAACACTACTGCCCTTTATTGATATCTTTCAAAGACATGCATTTCTGCTTTTGATGAAGTTCAGATTCTCTGCGTTTTAGCTCATTGCATATGCTTTTGGTGTGGTTCAGGAGAAATCACTGTGCCCAAAATTCCCCACTTTCTTTCTAACAGGTTGTTTCTATTAGACCAGGCTGGTCTGGTACTTGCTATGTAGACAAGGTTAGCCTCAAATTCTGGGCAGTCCTTCTGCTCCAGCTCCCCAAGTGCTGGGATTACAAGCTTGTGCCACTATGCTTGACTTTTTACATTAAATTTTAATGTTGGAAGTATATCTTTTTAAACTTTGTACTTTTTCAAGATTTTTCTGGCTATTCTGGGTCTCCTGAATTTCCATATGAAATTTAGGATCAGCCTTTTTTTTTTCCAAAGAAGTCCGAGGGATTTGTATGTAGATTTCATTGACTCTGTAGATGAATTTGGGGGTGGGGGTTAGCCATCTTACCCATCATAGAAGTATGTGCCTGTAACCACGGCACTCTACAGACTGTGGGGAGGAGGGCAGAGTTCAGGGCCAATCTAGCTATATAGTGAGTTCCAGACTAGCCTAGGCTATATAGGAAGACCCTGTCTCAACCTGCCCAACTCCCCCCTTCCCAATCAAACAATATTGTCTTTCACTCCATGAACACAGAATGTCTGTAATAAAGAGCCAATAAATAATCTCCATTCTTTTTCTTCTCCTTTTCATCCTTCTTGACTTCCTGCCTCTTCCTTCCATCTCCACCTTTCTCTTCCATCTCTACCTTTTCCCCCTTTCTTTCCTCCTCTCCTCTCCTCCCCTTCCCTGCAAGCACTGTGGCAAGAGTATCCTCATCCATGAGCTGTTGAGTTGTCTTCCCAGACTAGAGAAACATTTGGTACCCACCCTCCCTGACTTAGCACTGAAATTTCAGTTTTTGTTTTTATTTGCTGGTTTTGTTTAACTCATTTGTATTTTGCTTCGGTCACTTCCTATTTTATTTCATTTTCTGAATTAGATGATGTGTTCTAGGAATTTCCAGTGTCATTATGGTAGACAGTAGATTGCCTTTCCATTTTCTGAATTTATCACTTTCTTAAGTTTCTGTGTCCCTTCAGGGTTCTGTTCTATTTGGAGCTGTAACCTAAAAAACAAAGTTCATAAAGGTTAGTGAAGAATTTTTTGTAAAACAGGCAGTATTTGAAAAGTGGTTGGTCTTAGCTTTTTTTTTGAAGTACATAAATGTAAACTTTTATTTTCTAAGCTAAATTAAGTGTTTTTGAGGTGGATATCTTTTCATGCTGCCCAAGTTGATCCCCAGATCTGGGACTCAAGTAACTCTTGTGCTCCAGCCTTCTGGTACCTGCATGTGCCATTATGCCAGGCTAAGTGTAAGTTCTGTGTAGTTTTGAATCCATAGTCTTTCTGTATGATAGCTGCAGATGCTATGTAGAGAACAGAAAGTGTCTGTGTCTTGTATATTGGAGAGTGTCAAAGACTAGCTGTGGCCTTCCTGCATTGTCCACATCAGTATGGAGTGCCATCATGGGCTATTTCAAAGCCCCTTCCTTTAATGACTTGCTCTTCAGAGCTCTGAGTTCCTGCGTTTTTGAAGGTTGGCTAGGGCTGAGCTGTTTTCTTTAGTATTCTGGCTGACTCATTTAGTAGTATCCTTTGATTTTAAAGGCTTTATCGACAGGGGCTGGAGAGATAGCTTGATGTTAGGTGTTAGGAACACGTGCTGCTCTTGGATGGGATGAAAGTTCAGTTCCCAGCAACCATATCTGGTGGGTATAATCACTTGTAATTCCAATTTCAGAGGATCTTAAGCCAGAAGAAGTTCTGACTTCCATGGGCAGCTGTATTCATGAGTGTGTGTAGTGTGGGTTCTCTTCTGTGGCTGCATACACACACACACACACACACACACACACACACACACACACACAGAGCTTAAAAATGAAATAACCCTTTTAGAGGTCTTGTGGAGGTCTTTGAGTTCACTGTGCTGTTCTCTGCCCTGCCCTGCCCTGCCATAATGTTCTAATGGTAGAATTCTGTTCCTTCTGCTGTTAGAATAAAGTGGACTCAGCCTATTTTCTGGTTGGAAATGGAGTGGTGAGTTGGTACCAGAATGACCCATCTTATGACTAAGGCCTCTTTATCTTGAGTGTCTTTGAGATGCTTCTGCCAAAAATTTGCATAAACATCTGGGCCCTGGACTCAGAGGTCGTGACTATGCAGCCTGCTGAAAAATTAGAACAAAGATGTGCTGATTAATGTCCCCTACAAGAGACAGGGGTTCAGGAATGAGTGTGGGGACTTGATTGCATCTCAAGATTTTGCCTGGGGCCATTTTGCATTCTCCCAGATCCTTGGGCTGCCCATATTAGCTCAATGTAGCTTTGTCCCCAGGCTTCCAGGACTGGAATTAACGGAAGCGGAAGCGTCCCAGGTCATTATCAACATAGCACTGGAAAATAGTTGTATCCTGGCTTTCTCCACAGGAGAGCTTTCCTGGGGTCTGAAGTAATTTCAGTCTCATCTATGGGGAGTGCTTATCATTTGCTGTCATGTTGCATCCCTATGGGATGAAGAGTGAGAGGCTAGACTACTAAACTTTTACATCCTTATGTCTGCCATGGAAGTGGGGTTCCCTTCATGCGGATATGGAGGACAGGAGTCAAGGGTTTAGTCCTCTGTTTGCTGTTACCTGCAGAGAGGATTCTAGCTCAAGCCACCATCATCAGCATCTGTTGTCATGTTCAGTATGCAGGATGTCCAGGTGAGGGTCTAAGGGTCTACCAGTATGTGACAGAGGCAGTCAACATGTTTGCTTCTCTTTTACCTCTCTCCTTGTCCCATGCCATGGCTGATAGTGGCACACTAGAGTCCTGTATCCCCCGAAGGTTTAGTGTCCATGTATTATAGACCCAATCAAAATACTTCTAGAAGAGTCAGGATATCACTGAAACCGAAGGTTTCTTAGACTAAGGACACAGGGAATGCTAACCAAGAGAGGAGGAATTGATAGTGTGAGCTCTGTCAAGTGACATGCCTCTTCTTATCAGAAGATTCTCTTAGGAAAGAAAATTGGTGTCAGACTGGGAGAAAATATTGACCAAACATGTGTGATGACTAAGGACTTAGCTTTGGAACATATGAAGAGCAAGCCCAGCTCCATAATAAGATGAATGGTCTAATTTAAAAAACTGCCAGAAGTTTTGAGCAAATACCTCACAAAGGGAGATACAAGCGTGGCCAGTGATCATCAGGAAGGACACTCAGTGCCTGGTTATCTAGCAACACTAGCAGAATGGGAAAAACCACAAGCATCCATGACATGAAACATCTGTGATCAAACATGACACAGCGTGGTCCTTGTGTGTCATCCCTGTGAGTGCGAACTGATGCTGCCACTCTGGAAGAGTCTGTCTGCCCCCAGGCAGGGGGAAAGGGCTCAGTGTGAACAGTGCAGGAGAGAGGAATGACACTATGGGACTAGAGGTTATGTATGAGAACATGTTATCAGGATAGCGTCAAGGAGATGGTTCATTCAAGGGAATTAAGACACTTGTGCATATGTGTGTTTGTGCGCCCGTGTGTGTGTGTGTGTGTGTGTGTGTGTGTGTGTGTGTGTTTGTGTAGCTGGAGAGCCCTGTGTCCCATAGCCTCCATACTCACTCAGCAGTACTTATTTTGTTCCTTGACCAGGAAGTCTGAAGTCTAGGTTAGGTGGTACTATCATCATCTAGTCACGTGGCTCCACATGATATGTTCTGAGAAGCTGAGCAAAGTCTCTTCCCTGTTTCTCTTGTCATGATGGACTCTTGTTCCTTTTTATGAAGGATGTCTCATTCATTATGTGACAATGCCCTCATGCCAGAGAATCTGGGCCTCTTAGCAAAAGGCTGGATGTGCTTGGAGCCATGGCTCATGAAAGGTGTTCACAGGGTTCCCTCAGAGCCTCAAGATTGTCTTTTCACAGTGGTTAGGCTCTCTCTCCTTTAAAGAAAGAGGTTGCAGGTGCATCATGTGTCTCACTTTCTCTCTGTGCTTCAGCTTTCTGAAGAAGAGAAAATACAGCGCTACAGCATCCTGTCTGAGCTCTACGAACTGATTGGCTTCCACCGCAAGTCAGCATTCTTCAAGCGCGTGGCTGCCATGCAATGCGTGGCCCCTAGCATCTCAGAGCCTGGCTGGAGGGCCTGTTACAAGCTCCTTCTGGAGACACTGCCTGGTTACAGTCTGTCGCTAGACCCCAAGGACTTCAACAAAGGTACTGATGACCTGGGGCTGGGGTGGAAGTTGCTTTATTCTCATTCATCTTGTGCATTTGAACGTCTGCTGAGTGTTAAGGGACTGTAGTGGGCAACTGTGGTTCAAAGGTGGCGAAACCCTTCCCTGTACAGCCACTTATAACAGTGGTGTCATGGCAGGAAGTCCCTGAGCTACCTTGTGGCCTTGTTTTTGCATCTTGGTTAGTGGAGGTCAGAAATTGCCCTAGAGGCGATCATCATGGTCTGTCAACAACACAATGCCTTAGGTCCTAATGTTTTTACCTACCTTATGAAATTTTGTTAGGTTAGCAAAAATCAGTGTACCTTTCTGCAATAAGTAAACCTGGGAATGTGTGTATACACACAGCTATGCCTTTGTGGAAGATTCTGATTCTATAATAGCAATCATATTAAAACATAGCTATAAGTTTAATAACTATAGACAAATAACTGTAGACATAGAGCTAGTAGTGGTGTGGGCTTTCAGTAGGAGAGAACTGACTGGTCCTCCCACTAGGGTGCAGTTAGATCCCTAGTGCTCCCCCTCTCATTCACAAATCACTTTCTTCTCCATCCACCAGATGAAGTGTTCAGATGTCACCCTCCTCAGCCTCTTTAGAACCAGCCCTTCCCAGACAGTGCTTCATATTGATACCTCCATCCCTAGCAGACCAGAATCTTTACGGGGGAGAGCTTGGCTTAGAGATGAGGCCTCTGTTCTGTGAAGGCCAGGGTGATAAGCCTTCAAGGCCTTGTGGGCTATGGTCTCTGTTGTCTAGAGTGGTGCTGAAATAGCACAGGTCATGTGCTAATCGATAGGACTTCATGGGCAAGTGTAGATGGTAGGGGCAGGGATAGTGTTCTATACCTGAAATCCTGGGACTCATGGGGGCCAAGGCAGAAGGATGGGCATAAGTTTGAGGCCATTGTGGTCTACAGAGTGAGGTCCTGTGGGAACACAAACCATATAGTCCCTGTTTGAGCCTCCCTCTCCTTACAAAAAGAGTAGATAGATGGTGGACAGGCCAGATTCGGCACTTACTGCACTTGACCATAATCCCTGGCAGAGCCCACACTGGGAAGGTCAGCCCCTCCTATCTTTGAGGCAAGCACAGATAAAGAGTTTTATTCCTTGAGGCCACCTTAGGGAAAGTAGCAGCTTGGGGGCCCAGGGGCCCCAACTCTACTTTCTGGTTACCTGAAATGGGCTTTAGGTTTAAATAGAGAGGGAAATGGGACAAGTGGTCTGCATCATTAAGCAGTACAGGTTCTGATGTGGCCCCATCCATCGTTGTCCCAGTATAGTCCTTTAAGTTGGTGTCAAGATGTCTTTATTGCTGAGACTAGAAGGTGGTACTCAGGGGATAAGCAGAGTTACTGGGTTGGATGAAGAAAGAGGTTGGGGCCCAGTGGGATAAGGGCCTCTTCAGATTGGTGAAGAGAGGGAAGGAGGTTGGGCCATGCTTGCTGAGGAGAGACTGACCCGGGTGAGGGGTGACTTAGAAATCAGATGGGATACCATGCTCAGGTATATAGTAGTCTTATGGAGGGAGGTGTCCTCTGACTCTGAGTCCCTACAACCCTGAAATTTTGTCTTTAGAGCAGACAATATCTTGCTTCCCTGGATCCACAGGGGCGAGATGGGCAGGCAGAGGTCTGCTGGGCAGTTTTCCATTCACGTGACCTGCTTGTGTTGTCTTTTATGTTAGGCTCACAGAAGATCTTGTCTCTCCTGTGACCTTGCTAGCCAGGTCTCCTCCGTCCTGCACCCTTGCTGAGGGTTATTTAAAAAAAAATTGAACATGGACCTTGGCATTTGTTAGTAGTGAGTACCATCAGTCACTGTGATTCACTCTAGACAGTGTCTTTTATTTATTTAACTTTTTTGAGACAAGGCCTCATAATGTAACTCATGCTGGCCTTGAACTTACTAGCCCAGGGTTGCCTGGAACTCTGAATCCTCCTGCTGTGGGTTCCGATTGGTAGGGGTACAGGCATGCGCCATCACACATTGTTGTATGGTGTCACTTTGAAGTAGATTTTGTCCTTGACTTTAAAAACATTAAATATTAAAAATATTTTAATCTAATTTATTTTTGTGTGTGAGCACTATAGTGTGCATGCAGAGGTCAGAGGGCAAGATGTAGGAATTATTTCTGACCTGCCACATGGGCTTCAGAGATAGACCTCAGGTCATCAGGGTTGGAGGCAAATGCTTTGCCTGCTGAGCCATCTTGCTGGTTCTTGTCCCTTACTTTCTTAGATGTTAGGATTGTGTGCAAGGGTCAAGAGGAGGATTTGGGAGCCTTTCCAGGTCTTAGACTCTGCAGAGATGTTATGACCCTTGCTACTAGAACAGAGGATGCCTCTAGAATGGTACCCACTCTCTTCATGTGCTGGAGGAGCTGGACTGGAGTGAGGAGGGTGCCAGAGGGCAGGATGGGTATGCAGAGCCCATGACAGCCTGCAGTGGTCACTTTGCTGTGAGTTGGGATGGGCACATGGATGCTCACAGCTCCTGTCAGCCTTCGATTGTATCTGGGTTCCTTCAGCCATGCTCTTCCAGACCCCACTTAATTGTCTGATCTAATGTAGTTTCTCTGATAAAAGTTTCCATCTGTTCTGTCACTTTGTCCCCTCAAGAGATGGAGTGGAATTCAAAGTTTGTTGAGTACCTGTTGTGTGATTGGCATTTCTTAGTGGGAGTGGGCATGCAGACTGATGCTGTGGCTGATGCTGGGTATTGGAGCTGGTCTCTGTCTTTCTGACACAGGAACCTCCTGGGCTGCTCCCCTAGAAGCTGTTCTGGTGTCTGTGACCCCCTGGAGGCTTCTTGGCTGTCTCTATTGTTCTACTGCAGCTGTCACCTCCCTTAGCTCTCAGAGCACTCCTGAGACCATACAGTGCTTGGTCTCAATTTCTTGGCAGAATGCTACCTGGAACCTGGGGACACCAGGTGCTCAAAACCTCTAAATGGGGTGACAGTTGCAGGCCACTGTGGGATCTGCATACTGATCCCCAGCTGCCTTCTCTGCCCTCCTCCACTCCAGTCCAGCTCTCCAGCACTCAGAAGATGGTGGGTGCCATTCTAGGGGCTTCCCTTCCTTGTTCTAGCAGCAAGGACAATACATCAGTGGCAGGAGGGGACTCTGAGTGTCAGGGGCTTGGGCAGGTGTGTTTGAGAGTCCCTTTAACACTGAGAAGTCTGCTCTTGGTCTGTCTAGTAGATGGGGAAGCCCTACTTTGTGTTGATCCTATGGAGAAAGAAAGGAGTTGTCTTAGGTAACAGTTTGGCCTGGTCAGGGCAGAGGTCAGTTGAGGAAAGTGGAAAGAGAAGGAAGAGAGGGGGCGATAATTGTAGGACTTTTGCAAGCCAAGGTCAGACTGAGCGGGATGAAGAATTTGTAATCTAAATGAGCCTGGGCTTGGTCCTTGTGCCTGGTATGTTTTTAAGAGGCTTACCTGAGATCAAGTCTGTAAATGGGTAGTCCAGTAAAGGGATAGCATGATTTTCCAGGGAGCATGGCCCTTGTGTTCTCATGGTTATGTATTCATGGAGCACCCAGATTCTAGGACCCAGTGACTAGGACAGTCATTAGCAAATTCCTGGCCTCTTTGTAGCCACCTCAGCAGCACACTTAGCCCTTTTCTCCTCTTTGGAAAAGAAGTGTAGAGAACAAAGCCTGTGAAATAAATGGCATCCTGTACACACTCTGGCATTCTCTGGCTTGCTTCTCCTATTGCAGGAATGAGACAGACTGGAATGGTATCTGACCAGCCTTGGCATGCCCCCAACACTAGCCTGAGCTCTCCAGTTCTCTTTCCAGGCTGACCTGTAAAGAGTCACCTGCAAAGGTACACCTAGTTGCTGTGTGGTGACACCAGTATGGCCTGGAGTGGCTCCTGCTACATAGAGCCCTCTGCCATGTTTAGTATGCAGTTTTGTAGTTGAAGGATGGGTTATTTTATCTCTCTTTTACCAGTAGCATCTCTAAAACTGACTCTTCTTAATTAAAGAAATTATGATTACGTATTTAGTTATGTGTGCATGCATGTACACATGTATGAGTGCCTGTCACAGCTTGCATGTGGAGGTCAGAGGATGACTTGCAGGAGTCAGTTCTCTCCTTCCATTCTGTTGGTCTAGGGACCAAGCTTAGGTCATCAGGCTTGGCAGTAAACTTCCTTATCTGCTGAGTCATCCCACTGGCCCCTCTTCTTTCCCTTCTTAAAAAATATAGATTACAGAAGACTTTTATTATTTTCTTTCTATAAATTCACTTTATTCTGTATGATTTTGTTTTAATAAAAAAATAATGGGCTGGTGAGATTTCTCAGTAGTTAAAAGCACTTGGTGCTCTTGCAGAAAACCTGGGTTTGGTTCTTAGCTCCTACGTGGTGGCACACAGTCACCTGTAATTCCAGTTCCAAGGTATCCCACCCCTGCCTCTAGCCTCTGTGGGCATGAGGCACACGTGTGGTGCGATACATGCAGGCAAACACTTACATACAAAAAAGCAAATCATAAAAAATTATTTTTAAAATAAATTTCAGATCCATAGGAAAATTGACTATACACTGCAGAATTCCGGGATCCACTTTCTCCACAGAGGCATGGCCTTCCCTACCAGCCAGCACTCCCCACCAGGGGAGCACCTGCTACAACCAGTGAACCAACATAGCATAGCCTTACCCGAAGTCCACAGTTCCCATCAGGGCTCACTCTCGATGCTGGACATTCTTGGGGCTTTGACCAATGTGTGATGACTGGATTCACCATCATGAAGTCACACACAGTGGTTGCATTCTCCTAAAGATCCTTTGTACTCTGTTCACCCAAGGCCCCTGCAGCCAAGCATCCTTTTATAATCGCCACGCTTCTTTCTAGAATGGCATCAGGCATGTGTATACTCACTTCACAAACCCTGGTTGTTTATGAGGTTGACTCTTATGAATAAAGCAGCCATAAACATCCATGTGAATGAAGGTTTTGTGTGTA